GCTGTCCAGAAACTCTTACGCGTAGCCCTGTGGCTAGCGTTATTCCGTAAGTTAGAATGACCACAGTAAATCACTCTGTTTCCTATAGATTCGATACTATTTAACCGTTCCAGTAGTGAAGTGCTATCGCCTGGGATAACGTGATGATGCCAGTCCAGGATTACACGGGGTATATATGCACATAATTAAGCGTAACTACCCATCGGATTGTAGTAGAAAAGTAAAGAAACATACATGAAGAATTTAGTCAACTTCGGATCGTTTGTGTTTGTGAATCTTCACAAAACGTATAGATTAATCTTCCAAGGGTAACAGAGTGAGTAAGCTACTCTCAAAACCTGGCTTTCCGAACCACACATCAACCACGTTTGTGAGGTATTCCATCTAAGATACCGTAAAAACATATGAAGAAGTCCAGTAAGACCAAATGAGTATAGATGAACGCCGAAATGAGAATGTTTGACGACTAACTCACTCGGGCGGTGATGGCCGAGTGGTTAGGTCATCAAGTTGTGACACGGAGGTCTCGGATTCGAATCTATCCACCACCACCTATGTTCCCTATTTCTGTATTTTCCTAGGGAGCCTTTGTATGGCCGCGCCCCCTTCCCTCCTGAAAGTTGATTGTACATTTGTGCATTCAATAAATAACAAGGGAAGTAAAATGACTGAACAGCTGTTTCTACCTGGTTGGGTTTTATCAGCTGTTCAGTTCCGGCTTCATTTGCTGTGTGCGACGCATTCCCTCTCGGAAATTGAATAAAATCCTCCACTACTCTCAAGTAAGAATGCATATACCGATCAAACGTGGTCTTCAGAGTCAATGTCTGTAACCATTGCGATAATGAGCCAAGGGGTGAATTGTTCTTCCTTGTTATGAAATATGATCAAATAAACTGGTCGAAATTCAAATCTTTCGCGATTCCGCCACACAATTATACACTTTACTTTTATGTTTTGTTTGAAATCAGGAACTGTTCAGACAACGATGCATATCTCATATAACGAGTGGTCAGGTTGTGAAAGTTTCCAACTGAGTCATAAACCCGGAGGCTAGTCCTGAGATGAGCGAGGCGCGATGCCAGCAACAAGTTCGCAAAGACGGGTTGAGCTATACCGTGTAAATGGAGAATGAAAAGCTGCCTGGTCATCTGCCCAATGGCCTCGTGAGTAGCATGCCTGTGTTCTGCCTGTGGGGTCCCGGGTTCAACACCCAGTTGGGTCGATGGATACGCACTGCTGATGAGACCCAACCAGGTCTAAACAGCCGTCCAGTTGTTCCCAGCTTTTCAGTTCACGCTTCATTTGCTATAAAAATGACGAATTCATCTTTGAAATTGAATAAAGTCCTCCTTACTCAAATGGGACAAAAGTTTTTATGTCCATTTAAACATTTCCATATATGTTCTATTCCATCTGTGTTAACTTAGACCTATTACTCTTCAATTTCTGCTACGGCAATGTACTGCTTTGTTTTGCATATAAAAATGCAAAAACACACTTGGGAACCACCAAACTGTCACGGAATGGGACTCCAAAAGGATCAGAAAACACCAACCAGTGTGGTCTGTGAGTTCAAATAAATTCAAATTTACGAAAATGTTTCATTATAGTGCTCTGAAGTATTTCATCGTCGACCATTTAGCGAAGAGGTCAGAAGTTTTCCCCCTGTCGGGATAAGCCAGGTGTTGTGAGAGACTACTCACGCTTGTGAGTAGTTCGCGAAAAAAGCGACTGGCGGTTTCTTTCAACAGTAAAAAACTGAACAAAGCCTATTGGAGCGCATTGCTATTGCTGTTCGGAATGGTAACTTTGAGAATGCGCATTCAATAGCGAACCGTTCCATTAACTGTCCTGTTTGGTTTAGGTAATTATAAAGTCTTGAACTAAATGAGACATTTCGTTGTATGTATGCCAATTCACCAATACCCTGACCGGTATTCATAATAAACAACTATCTTCGTCCAGGCACCGCCTCGTTGATTTATAACACAGGTACATGAAAACGGTGAGTCAAAACGGATAGGTTTTTTGTTTGTTCATTTGTTCGCATACACTATCGCGTCTAGCGATTGATCCCAGGCAATATGTCAGTGAGCACACGGTG